GATAGGTTTTGAACTTATCACATGGCATCACTTAAAATATGACATGACATTCTCTCTAATTTAATCATCCCTAAATAAAATTAGTCCAAGATCAATAATTAAAATTAGCACAACTTCAAAAAGAAGATGAGAATGATGATTCAATTGATGAAGTTAAGAAGTGATTATCAAAAAATAATCTCACGGAATAGAAGATTATTTTTACATGGTTTCTTTCGATTATTTGATTAAAGATTTTAGTTATTGTTACTTTTAAAAATAATTTATTTTCGATTTTAATAGATCTTACTTTATTTCTAAAAAAGTATGTTCAACCAAAAAGATCAATTAAATAAAGAGAAATTTAAAAAAAATGTCACTTTCCAAATGCCACTTTTCAAAAATACCATCTTTTCAAAATCTTTGCAAAAATGCCATTTTTTCAAAATTATTTTTCATTATATAATTTATGTTTGGGGTAACTATGTTGTATTATGGTTTAGTTTTGAGTGTTTACGGGGTTTTAGGGGTCAAAACATATTTTAGGATTTAGAATTTTAAGATATAGACTTTATAAATCAATAATTAGTGGCATTTTTTCAAATGGACACCTCTAAGAGGCATTCTTGAAAATGTGCACACAAAAAGTGGTATTTTTGTAATTGCCCCTTAAATAAATCTATTATATTTTGTTTCTATCCAAATGTAAATTTATGTATCATCAACTCCAAAGTTAAAAGTATGACAATCTTAAAATCTACACAAGATTAATCTAACGTTTACAAGATTATCAAAATCATTATCTCCACAAATTTGCCTATCCAAAATTTAAGAATATCTTACAATAAAATCTATGAACAACTACAAATTTAAAAGTATGGAATTTGGCTGCTCTGAAATTTATGTATCATCAGTTCTAATTTTCAACTATAAAAATATTTGATTATGAACATTTTTGATATCTAATTAATAATGAACATATTATGGTCCGGAATTTATGTATCATAAATTCCAAATTTAAAAGTATGAAATTCTTTAGTAAAATCTACACAAAAACAATATTGTGGAAATATTCAAATTAAATAAGAATTATCATATTCTGATTAATTGATTAACATCCGAAATTTGAGTATCATTATTTATAATTGGAAAACTAGGGAAATCGTTAAGAGTATCTCCACAAAATTTACGATTTATTTAAAATATTTCTATTGAAATGTTTTTTAGAAATATTTTCAAGACTTTACTATCTTCGAATGTTTTTAATACATTTCCATAGAAATTTGAATTGAAGGTAGTAAAGTCTCAAAATTACTGCTACGTAAATGTATTAAAATACATCGTATATTTTGTGGAGATAATCTTAACGATTTCAATTATTTATCCTCATAGACATGATTTGTGAGAAGATGTTTGTCTGTCACTCCACAATCACTCTCACCAAAATAATTATGATATAGCTAACAAAATTGTGAAATGACAATTTTGAATCAATAGAGTACCACTAAATTTATTTTGTTACTATAAATAAATCAAAAGAGTTTTTTAATCAATATATTATCTGATTTTTCGTTTTTATTCTAAAGTTATATACAAATTTGGGTTCTCATTTAACAATAGTTTAGAAATTGATTATTGTAAAAATAAAATTATAAAACATTTTTATAGAATATATATATTTTTTTAAAATAATAATAAAGACTCACCAAATTCTTAAAAGAAACATTGAATGTCTGTCAAAAAAACTTCACAATTTTATAACAAAAAATGTAGTTATTCTTTTGATTTTTTTTTTACGCAAGACAATTTGAAAGTAATAAAAACTTTTTTTTATTCGAAAGCAACAATTGTTTTTAATCCGCTTTTTATTTATAGAATTTATGATTATATATTTTAATATTTTAAAATATTAAATAATTTATTTGTATTCAAAATTCTACGTAAGGGATTTGGACAACTCAAAGTTAACATTTTTTTAATGTATTAAATTATTATACTTTTTGATTTATTATAATTTTTGATTTCACACGTGTACATATATAAAATAATTTTCCAAGTTTAGAACAACAAATATAATTATTCTTTTGAAATATTTTTTTAACGCAAGACAATTTGAAAGTAATAAAAACAATTTTTAATTTGAAAGTAGCAATTTTTTTAAATTTGTGTTTCATTTATAAAATTTATGACTATATGTTTTAATGTTTTAAAATATTTAGTAATTTATTTTTATTCTAAATACTACTTAAGATATTCGGACAAACCAAATTAGCATTTTATTTAAACTCTAATGTATACATTTTGACTTAACACATTTACATATATAAAATAATTGAATAGTAAAACTAAATTTCTGAAATTCAAATTATTAATAAAAACGATATTATTGACCAAAAAAATTAACAACAAAAGAATCAACAACAATGTCTATAATAAAAATCAAACAACTATATATTTCACATTTTTAAAGACTAAAATGAAAAATAAAACTGCATTAATAATTTATCCGCGTGTACGCGGGAGAATCACCTAGTGTTTCTTTTAAACATGCAGTAACTTTGTTCCCTTTAAACTTGCAATAACTAAGTTCCCTTGAGTTTGTTTAAATGATTTGTCTGCAATTTACAATCCCTAACATTTTATCTCTAGTATTGTTTTCGAATGTTGTATTTGAACCATGTTTTTAGTCGTTTTGTAGATGCATATTTCGTACAAAACAAATTATCCATTTAATTAGAGAGATCAATGCCTATTTTTATTGATAAAATTTATTATATAAATTTGTTATAATTTAATTGATTTGTATGAAAATCCTACTCAAATAAAGATTAATTTATATATAAAAAAGCTATCAAGTAATTAATTATTAAGAGCAATACATCATCACAAAGTACAACAACAATCTATGCATCTCACACGACACAAACTAATTAAGATACTACTAGAAACCAGAACTAATACTTATTTGCCGTTCTACTAAATTAAAAATCTCAAAAAAAGTTTACTTTTAGGAGATCACTTAAATAAACCCATAGTCTTAGAAATTAAACAAGAGAGTCCAAGCACCAACAATAATAGTCGGAGCGAGAGATGGAGAGCATTTCATCAGGGGACATCCTCTCAACCTCGCTCTGCCTCCATGCCACTTGGTTGCTACGGTTCTGCGCATCGGCGGCTAAAGGGTAAGCTTCAATCTTGTGTTTCTGATATCTCATTCTTGTGTAAAGCCTCATCGTTGCTACACAATCTTCATACGGGTCTTGTATCCCAACATGAACATCATAACTATAAATACATCAATAATCATCGTTAATATCAATCTTGAACATTAGAAACGTTTATTGATGTCAAGGGTTTTATATCAAGTTCAGCATCACATTTCATGGTTTCAAGAACTAGAAACTAACATTGCGTAACC